GTACATTGTTAAAATAAGCATATCATCAAACCTTGTGAAAATAACCTTGGAGTAACATTTGAAAACATACTCAATCTTGTGAAAACAACCACATGTAGATGTGCACATTTCAAATCGGTTTTTTTAATCGAAGGAAAAAACCAAACCGGTTAGGTTAAAACCGAATTGCCGGTTAAGAATAGGTTTTAATAAACATTTGAAATCAGATTTTGAACAATTTTCTACTATAACACAACCGAACTGGCTTTTTAACCGAAAAACACCAAACTTTTTTTTAACACAATTTCATCCTTGAGAGCAATGTAACAATAAACATTTTCCAAATTTTGAAGTCCCTTCTTTTCATTCTTAGTATTGATAATATCTGCAAGCTAGTGTTCCAAACTTCTTATGATCCCCAATTTTAGGCTTACTCGATCCTTGAGAGTAGGATTACCGACTGTCTCATGGGTCCAGAGAGCCAAACTCAAGATTTGATCTTTAAAGGAAGACAAGGTACAATGATTGATGGAGAAAGGGTGCAAAACGAGAATGTACGAGGGCGAGAATAATCCCCCTAAAGATAAAAGAAAAAAATCAAAGTCATGTAACAAATCAAGGCCTCATGAAAATACTTTTGATGAAGTGATAGAGCCTCGCATCTCCAAAGTCAAGCTCGTAGTTGATAAACTTAAGGCTCATTTTGGAGACATGGAAAAGACAATCAAAATACTCACCTAAGAAATGCCAAGATCGCCACAGCCGCCAAGGCCATGATAAAAAAAACTTCAAGAAAAGTTTAAGGATGGTTAGCAAGTGGCAAGTGATAATTTAAAGATGAAAGAATATTTTTAGAGAAAAAAAGTCCAAGGAATGCATGAAGAATTGGATATTATGAGTCGAGAATGAAAGATCTTCAAGCTATCAACAAGTCTAGGAAATAACAACAACTATGGTAAGACCTTTCCAGGTTTGAAAGTCCATAAACTTGATATGTAATGAAACTAAGGTGGAAAACTTTTCTCTTTGGTCTTGGACAATACTTTGAAGAAATAAACATCATGGATGACAACACTAAAATCAACAATGCCCAACATTCTTATGAAAATTAGCCCAACTATGGCGAAGAAGGAAGCATACTGAACGAGTGAAGGGATCATGCATTATCAACATGTAGGAAAAAATCAAATTAGAAATGCAGAGGCATTTTGTCATATACAGTGCAGGATTATAAGCAAGAGGAAAACTTTGTCGACTTTTCCAAAAAGGTAGCATCCCCAACTACATTAAAGAGTCGATGATTTTTCAGATGAAGATGCTATCTTCTTCTTCTTATGGGTTGGAAGATTGAGTAAAGTTAGAATTAAATCGAAACAAAGTACACAACCTTGATGATGCTTTAATCATGGATGAATATATCACAAATTACACATCAACATTAAAAGAGACCATCCACGATACAACTGAGGGAGAAGATGAATAACCTAAGGAAGAAAGAGACGAATGACCTTCTTCCCCAAGATGAGAGAAGTATAATTCAAGACCATCAAAGCCACCAAGATCATGCTTTGTATGTGGGAAAAATTATTGGACCCAAAATTGATCAAACAAATTTAAATCAAAGCGGTCAAATCCTTGTTTGATATGTGATGAATGGAACTGGATACAACATTGCTCATAAAATAAGGCCATGAATGCATTGGTAGAAAAATCTTAATGATAAACAAGAATAAGAGAAATTACAAATAGGAACACTACAATACCTCAGAGCGTTGGCCCAAGCACTCCCAAAGAAAGAAAAATAAGACTAACGGGTGTTATTTTCCAATATCACAATCAATAACAAGACTACTCCAACATTGATTGACATGGGGGCCTTCTACAACTTCATGGACACCAAAGAAGCTAAGAGACTCGATATCAATTGCATATTGAGTCAAGGAAATATAAAGCATACTGAGTCGAGGAAATAGAAAGTGTAACGCCGTGATTTTTCACTTTATTTTTTTTATTTAAAAACATCATTTAACAGATTATAAAATTGAAGTCTTGATTTATTCATTAGAAAACATCACCAACATTAGTTAATTTAAATCTTTCAAAATTATGGAAAATAATGAATTGAGGAAGACACTCTCCAAGATACCACTAAGCACCCTAAAATTTTGCATAAAAGCCAAATTAAAAACAAGCAATCAAAACAGAAAACAAAGTCTAAGTTTCATAATTTGAAGTTTCACAGCCCGATCTCTGTTTGTGAGGGCGAGGCTCGTTGGGTGAGACCCGTTATGTATTGGGCGAGGCCCGTATGGTTATGTGATATTTTAGGAAACTCACTAAGCTTTGTGCTTATGGTTTGTGGTTTAAACATTTTCCAGGTACTTTTGGTTCTAAAGGAAAGGGCCCGACGTGAGTACACAACATCCCCCAAAGTTTTCCGCATTGGTTATTTGAGATTTTTACTCTGATGTTATAATGATATATTCACTTGGATTGGTTCTGGAACAACTCGTTTGTATGGTCATTTCATTTAAAATGAAAATTTTACTATGAATTTTTGGGACGTTATAGAAGCATAGGTTGTTAGAAGACTGCTTGATGATATCATCAGTGACTTAATCATAAGCATGCCAAATATAATCATATAAGATCATCCTCCTAAAGCATGAGGAATGCATTATGATCAGGAACATGATCAAGGTGAGGCATATTTGATGGAAGACGACTTTGTTGACAACCCAATATATGATGAAGCAACCTAGCATCGTAGATTTCAAAAAAAAAAAAAAAAAAAAAAAAAAAAAAAAAAAAAAAAAAA